CGTCAGTTAGTTTTAATTGTGATCATGGCAAGTAAATTTAAACTAGCGGATCCTAAAAGTAACTGCTTAAATTTGTTCACGATGGGTGTCGTCATTACAACACTAAATTTGCATTATTGCATTGATAAGAGAAAATCAGAAAACATTTCGAGGAATGAACATAATTATCATTCGGGTATGCCTAGAAAAAATAAATAAAAATAATTGTAGAAATGTGGTGGCACCAAAAATTTTGTATTCTTACCGCACTTCCTACATCACCCTATATAAAAAACTCTCAATTTCTATATTTTTTTGTGTGAAGCAGAGGATAAACAAGGAATCGCTTTCAAGAATGGTGAAAACGGCATATTTTTCCGGTAATTTATAAAAAAGTTCTCGCATCTCAAAAATTGGTGAAATTTATGCTTGAAACCACAATAAAGCTGGAAAAATGGAACATGTTAGAGAGGATTCTTTCTTAGATCAACTTCCAACTTTTGATATCCCTATAAGATCATCAATTTCACTAAGAGTTTTCATAAACTCTGAAGATTTGAGATGAAGAATTAGCAAAAAATTTAACCTATTTCCTAAATTATTGATGTAGGACACAGGACAAAGCCAAAATTGAATAATTCGATTCAACATTTTGTAGCCGGTATAGGAAGAGCGAATGGTAGACGCGCCGTCGCGACGCTTTTATTGAGCGGCGGTGACGTCACAAGGCGTCGACGAGCGGAGCTTCTTTTTTCGCCCCCCAAACTTCATCTGGACGCAGGGGGTGCGAAACGCGCGTTTTCTCCTTTCACATCGTGTTGATTCGGATTAAAGTAGAGCTTTTTAGATGACCTGTGATTATTTTTTTTGAGACCAATTTACATCTAAGTAGAAAATAGTTTTGTGAGAATTTTTAATCGAAATTCGCCCGGCTGCTGCTTTAAGCAGGAAAATCATGTTCTTATTGGGATAATATGAGTGGTTGCTTTAAACTATTCCGGATGGTGAGTTTGTTTTCAATATTATTTATTCTTTAAACTAAATAGTTTACCCAGAACTGATACAAACATTGCTTTGCACCCCTAAATCCACTTGCCAATAATAGGGGAAAGAGATTCCAGAGGGGTGCTATATTTATTGAAGGGTGAATATATTTGTATTTGTATGTAGTAACAAAATACATTTGATAATAATTATTATTGTTGCTATTACTCTGTATAAGAAAAAAATAGGGAAATTCTAAGAGAGGGTTGTTGCTTTATGGCTCATAAGGTAGGGGTGTTTTCTAAATGACTTGAACTGCAAGTGGATGGGGTGCATATTACAAGAGCGTGGGACAAAGAATTTCATGAATGGCATTATTATTTCGGTATAGGGAAGTGAGTCACATAAAGGCCTTTTGTTTTAGTCCCTGCAGTGATGCAAAAAATCCTGCTTTTTATCAGGAAATTGTGAACACTTAAAAAAAAAATTACATTAAAATATTATGTAATTCACCCTTACGTGACATGTTTTCCCTAATTACCCTTCCCTTTATTATTATCATAAAGGGTGCTAACCCTTGTCACAAGTTAAAATTAGTCGGTAAAACAAGGTTCGGTCCTGTAATGGAATTAATCGAATTTTTTTCTCGAAATGTCACATGGTCCATTGCCAAGCAGGAACTAATTGTCGCGTCCTGAATATTTCGTAATATAAAACCTACGCGAGTAATTTATATTATTTGACCTGCACTAATTTGCCCTAACAGTCCGTCAGTGTTTATTTATAACTAATTTGTTTACCTACACCCTAAATCTAGAAAGAATTTTATTTATTGATCAAACGCTCCTATAGGAATTTTATTTGGCTGTAACCTTTGCCATTTAAGCTCTTCTAGAACGAAACTTTTCGATAAATATTTTATTAGATTTTCAGGAGATTGCCTATTAAAAGAGCTTAGAAACGGCATCTTTCTGAAATAGATTTTTCATCAATCGGTAGTGCACTTTTCATTTTGAAATGTTTCTAACTAGATTTTAGATTGTGGGGGAAGTCGTTTCGACTTTCCAGCCACTCAGTACTGCTACCATTGCAGATATTTTGTACGTGACTCTACATTAAAGTGACCAGATCTTAAAGGTTCAAAAGCGGGACAAAGAGCAGGCTTATTCTGTAACTTATCGTTACATAACGATATCGTTCTCGTGACAACTGACTTGGTAACGACAATTTCAGAAAAGCTATTCAGTAACCGGGGGCATTTATGGCAAGGATCTTCAAATTTAGATCAAAAATTAGCTGACAATAATTGATGCTATAAAACTTCTTTCTGTTCATAAAAACGACAGCAGGGTGACCAAGTTGAAAATGCGTTAATGTATTGTGACGATTCGCCAGGCTGTCAAGAATCTCTCGGTATTCCCTATTGAGTATTCTATAATCTAGCGAATTATTCTACTTAATTCGGGAAAATAAGATTATCGTGTGTATTCTAGATTTTGCAGGAATAGATTTAGGGATATATAAAGGCGGCTATTGCTTTGTAGTAGTTAGTTAAAGTTTGACTGTGATACGATTTAAATAGTGATTATTGCGAGTTGTAAGAGTTTAATTGTTGAGTTAGTTATTAAAGTAATTAGTGTCAGAGTGTATTGTTAAGTGGAATAAATTATTGCTGTGTTAATTGGACTTTGATTTTTGGAATAAACGAAACGAACAACGAACCCAAGATTTCTGTCAGGCAATCTAATCCGTGACAGTACCAATTTTGATGTGACTACCGTCGACAGCTATTCCTGGGATACGTAATTTTGTAGAAAACCCATCTATTACCACGTTTGTTTCTTGAGGAATATACACGTTGCCGAAATTGTCCACAAGTGCATCTACCACCTCATGAATAATATAGCGGCAACATTGCTTTGTGATAATGCTGCAAATCTACCAAGTGGTTTCAGGTAACTTCCTTGTGCCAAGAAAAGCAAACAGGTGAAGAACCTCACAATTGGTACCTAATTCTTGTACCGTTTTCCAGAAAATGCATCAATTGTGTGAAAAAACGTTGAGCAGTTTCGACGTCCGGTCTAAACATTCGACGAAAACATTCCCCTAGCAATTCCGGGGTATTGCGAACATGACTATGGAACAACTTCAGGTGTTGCCTTGAAAAAATTATCAGTAAGTTTCCATTTGATAGAACAAATTTTGAACTACAAAAAAAATGCACTGTCCTTCACAAAGATGCAACCGAGGAACACATTGAAAATGCTCAAGCAAAGTTCAACGCTAATGCTTGTGACTATTGTGATTTGTGAGCTCTGAGATCTGCGAAAACTTATAGATTTGAATTAACAATCCAATAGATCTATTGAACGAAATAGATTTTTAATTTGATTTAAAATGAATGAAGGATAAAAAGTTGATATTTGGAATTTATTGAAAGCGGGACGCTTAATAAATCGGGACTTGTAGCTCGAAATCGGGACTGTCCCGCCTAAATCGGGACGGATGGTCACTTTACTCTACATCTTAAATTGTCTCCAGCCGAAGGCAGCTATTTTTCTGGGTGTCAGTTGGCTCACTTCTTCTGATGACAGTGCTGCCCCCTCGAGGAATTTGAGCCTCTTGCAGAATTGGGTAGATGCACTAGAGTCTCTATTGCGTCTGAGCAGAATCTGCAAAGATCGTCTTTTGCTCTACCCATTAACCTTAAGTGGTATTTTACCAGGCAGTGTCCTATGAGCAGACCTACGACCATTCTGATGACTGGTCTGCATGTTTAGAAGCTGTTCAGCTCTTTTCGCTGAAAGGGTGACAAACAGTCCCGGAGTGTGTTCCCAATATGATGACAGTTGGTCTTTCTCTCATTTGTTGAGTTCTTCCATGATGTGGTTTTTCATTAAGCCACAATAGGGCTCTGCTCCATGGTATGGTGTTGAGGTCCCTTCTTTTGCGAGGCCATCTGCTGTGTTTTCCTTCGAGGCTTTGGTTGAAACACTCTTGTGCGCATAATTATGTTTATGGCAAGCAGTACGGCTTGAAATTGCCCAATGCTTTGGAGAACTTAAAATTAGGGCCGGAAATGCCTAGTCCAGTTCCTTCCGTTAGTTTGGATCCATCTGTGTACCATAGAGATGCATTATCTGCTTAAAGAATGTGTACCATAGAGATGCATTATCTACTTATGATAATTCTTTATTCTCCCATCATTGTTTATTACCACTGCGAATGGGATCTCTAAATCCGATAATCTCCAGTTTCATTATTTCAAAGATGCGCAGATGTTCTTTCAGATCAGATCACCAAGCTTGAACTTGTCTGTTTAGAACAGCCTGTGAGCGCTGATTATTATGCCTCCTTTTTCACACATAGGTGATGTGGAGGCATGTTAAGCAGCGTCTGTACTGCTGCGGTGGGGCAGGTCGATATTGTTCCCGTTATTCCTAGGCACATCAGCCTTTGTACCTTGTTTAGCTTGATCTGAGCGGTGACTTGCTGAGTTTTGGGCCACCATACCAATAAGGCGTGTGTGACCATGGGCTTTATTATAGTTTGGTAAATCCAGAATACCATTTTTGGCTTTAGCTCCCATGTTTTACCAACCAGTTTGCGACCAGATGGCTGATATAGCTCTAGAGCAAAACTATTTGTTCCAAGTGAGTGTTTGGTCCAGGGTGAAAATGTAGTGTTGTACCATTAAGGGTGGGGGGCTTTCAAATACCTCTAACTATTCAAAGACATCTTTTTGTAAAGCTCTAGAAACTCCCAAAATGTCATCTTTATGTACGAAGTAATCATCCAATAAAGTCAAAGTAAAATTTACCATTTCAATGCAAATGGCTGGAATAAGTAGGTAATCTATACTTCTTTAAATCTAAATAGAGCTTCTTATAGTTCAATAATTCTGTACAAAATGTCCAAGCTTCGATAATAAATGTTCTTCTAACTTCTTATAACAATGATACAGCTTCCATAAGAAATGTATATTTAGATCCTACACCATCCCATACACTTTATGAATTATAAATGTTCTGTTTCAGTCTGACGGAAATACGTCATTCTTGCGCGCAGCGCGCAATGGCCAACTGGACAAAGTCCTCGAACATTTGAAATCAAATATAGACATTAACACAAGCAATGCTGTAAGTATATTCACTTATTGATAAACGTCTCAACTTCATGATAATATTGTTTCAGAATGGCTTGAACGCGCTTCATTTAGCTTCAAAAGACGGCCACGTAGACATAGTCAAAGAGCTTCTAAAAAGAGGCGCCTTAGTCGACGCCGCAACCAAAAAGGGTAACACCGCATTGCACATAGCTTCGCTTGCCGGCCAAGAGGAAGTGGTCAAGCTTCTCGTTCAAAATGGCGCTTCGGTCAATGTACAAAGTCAAAACGGCTTCACGCCGCTTTACATGGCAGCTCAAGAGAACCACGACAACGTTGTCAAGTATTTACTTGCCAATGGAGCCAATCAAAGTCTATCGACAGAAGATGGATTTACACCGTTGGCAGTTGCGATGCAACAAGGCCACGATAAAGTTGTTACAGTGTTGCTGGAAAACGATACAAGAGGCAAAGTGCGGTTGCCAGCTTTGCACATAGCAGCTAAAAAAGATGACGTCAAAGCGGCGAAGCTGTTGCTCGAAAACGAACACAATCCCGACGTCACTTCCAAATCGGGCTTCACTCCTTTGCACATAGCTTCGCACTACGGTAACCAGCAAATCGCCAATTTACTTATACAAAAAGGGGCCGATGTTAATTATGCGGCCAAGCACAACATCACTCCTTTGCACGTTGCCGCCAAATGGGGTAAGAATTTGAGCCCTTGTTAAGTTTTAGCTTAATTGATAATTATAGGTAAAACCAATATGGTGGCAACTCTTTTGGAAAACGGAGCTACCATTGAAGCTAAAACCAGAGACGGCTTGACACCGTTGCATTGTGCTGCTAGAAGCGGGCACGAGCAAGTAGTCGATATGCTTTTGGAAAAAGGAGCGCCAATAAGCTCTAAAACAAAGGTACTTAACGTTTAAATACCACAATAACTTTTTTTTAAATTGGATTTATTTTTTTAAAGAATGGTTTGGCTCCTCTACACATGGCGGCTCAAGGCGATCATGTAGACGCAGCTCGAATTCTTCTCTACCATAGAGCGCCAGTAGACGAAGTTACGGTTGATTATCTGACGGCGCTTCATGTCGCCGCACATTGTGGTCACGTGAGAGTTGCCAAGTTACTCTTGGATAGGTAAGAATGTCAATCTAACCCTTATAAATTTTAGTGGAGGAATTAACCAACGGAATACAATCTTCTGCTCCATCTTCTTCTTTAGACTGATGGATGTTGAGTTGGCGAACGGTAATTTATTTTGTTCCTGGGTAGCGATACCTGTTTGCGGGAGTGACAGTAAAACAAATAGACTTCCTCATGTTGGTCTTTTTACTTTCGATTTTGACGCGATCACTCGTGGCCACCCGTCACTGGATTTCTTCCTACCAAAGTCGCCTTTTATATTGTTAGCTTCTTGTTTTGGAGTCATATTGATCTTCTTTCCTCAATTTATGCGCCTACGTTATCCATAAATTTTGCTAATTTTGAATACGTTGGATTGTTGACGCCTTTGACTGTGTTGGCCGCCTGTTGGTTTCCAAGGATGTTCACTTCGAAGAGTAGTCGTTATTCTTATAGTTTTTATTCTTTGAGATTTTTGCAAAAGATTCTCCACTTTCCCAATCCTCCATCTATCTCATCTGTGGTTTGTCTCTTGATCTGTGCTCACCAGTGTTTTGGTTTTAAGTTCCATTCTTAGGCCAGAGTTACCCAATTCCTTAATAATATTTGTCCCTAAATCTTAAATCCTAAAAAGTTTAATTTATTTAACATTGGTGTTTTTAAATGTTATTATTTGATGTTGGGGATTGATGTATGGATCTTAAATCGGATAAAAAATATTATGTGCCTCTTTTAGCTCAGATTTGCACAGAGGTGACTCGCGTAACCCATTGAATAGAGATGTTTTCTCAGCTGGCAGTGGCCTGTCAGAAACCCTGTGATAAAACTAAGGTTTTTCCTTGACATGTCCAAGCACGTTGCTACAACTTCATTAGGGTAGCTGAGCAACTTCCTAGCTAGTTTATGGCGTGAAATAACAGTTCTTGTAGTACTCAATATTGCGTTTATTGATCGCAAGCAATGGGTAACACCACACCGTCATAAGCTTGGGTAACAACGATAATCAAGCCTCTTTAGAAGTCTTCTTGGCCTACTAGGCGTTACATATTCAGAGTCCGACAAATCATGCGCAGTTTCATATTCACCTTTATTATGAACTGAAGGACGCAAACTAGGACGCAATGTATAGTTTTCAAGAGGTTCAATTTGATCTGGAATTTCACTGGTTAATTCACTATTATTTGTATCTATTATTTTGCTTGGTAAAACACCGCTATACTTTAAAGAGCCAGCCGAAACACTTAAGCTGTTGGAAATTGGTAAAATATCACAAACCGGACTTTCTGTTTGGGTGTTCGACTTGGGGAAATAGTCTGGTGCATACATCAAATGCCACCTATTTCTTCTAAATTTCCCAGCTTCAGTTTGAATGATATAAGACCTGCGCTCCTGACAAATTTCAACAACCTGGCCATATTTCCTGATATCAACCACCCAGATAGAATCACCTACTTTTCAAGATTCTAAATTTTTGGCATTGTGTCTCTTAACGGCTCGGGGAACACTTTGCACATAAGGTTTAGCATCAAACCTAATTCTAATACATATACCATTTTTAAATTCCCCTATATCACTGAAAATACCAGGAAATTTTTAAGCAATTAATTCTTAACTAAACTTTGAAAAAACATTTGGATTCTCAGCTCATTCAAATGGACAACATCGCAACTAATTTGACTTACATGTCTTAATGCATGCTTAGAAAAATTTAAAACATTAAATTTAATAATAGTATTCTTACTTAAAATGGCTTGTCTTAATTTCTTGATGCAATAAATCGTCTCAGTATCTGTGATACCATCATAAATAAACTTAATAGGTACGTAACTTACCCACTGCGTCCAGTTTATGATCATCAGCAGCGCCAATTGGATCACATTTCATCATCTTACTTACATATTCTGGAGGTAACTTCTCATATGGAAAACAGTTAACGTCTGTTGCACTGTCCACGAAAAATGGTTCTTTGAGTCTATTATCCATTATAATGTCCACATACCAGCGATCCTTGTCGTCGTCAAGGTACACTTGGCGTTTAAACGAATCCATTTGTATCACTTAGTTCACTATATTATGTGGCTTCTCGTCCTCAGAACAGCTACTAGTGTTGGACTCTGGGCACTCAACAGCTCTGATAGCCTTTTTCCTGCACATTGTTACAAATTAAACGACTTTTGTATACTTTAAGAAAAGATAACCTAGAGTCGTGAATTCAAAGAAAAATTAAGATAACGAACAATTGAATCAAAAATCGTGGATTTTTGGAACCTGAATCGATGCATCACTCTAGCACTTGTAATAAGAAAAAAACTGTAAAAAAAGGAAATGTTGCTGGTTGAGTGTCTGTTCTGCCATGCTTTTAGAGACTCGCCAATCTCTTTCTTAAAACTAAAGGAAAAGGAATAGCGGACATCATAGAAGAAACTGTCAGAAAAGTCCCAACAGTGAAAAGATTGAAACGCCAATTTATACATAATGTATTTAGATCTGGGCGGAGTTCCCGGAGAGGAAGTAAGAGAGACCCTTCATCCCTTGCATATGAACGGGTATCAGCCGCCATATACAAGTTATCCGTAAAAAGGCCCAATCAAGAGGGGATAGAAAAAGAAATCAGTGTGCAGACGAATACACCTAGGTAAGCAGTATCTCAATTAACCGCTAATCTCAAAGAACCACCCGACTCTAACTCCTGCTACCAAGCCTGTGTCAATAAGGTGGTACACAGCAGCCTGTCCCCAACGGACAAGAAAAATCACTTAAACAGAAGTTGAGCAGCTCGTATAAGAGAAAACTCAAGATAGCCACATACCGGAGCGGGTAATCAATAAATCAAAATCCCACGTCGGGCGCCAATTTGTTACAAATTAAATGACTTTTGTATACTTTAAGAAAAAATAACCTAGGGTCGTGAATTCAAAGAAAAATTAAGATAACGTGTAGCCCCTTTGTGTGCAAATGAAACCACTCAATATCCAACAAACAATAATTTCATCTTGTTTAGTTTACAATGTTATGTAGTCAATGCTATTTTCTGTAAAATTGTAAAATTTTACAGTTAACAGCTTGGTTGTTCTGGTGAATCTGACACCATATACCTTTTCAATCTGGAGCTCTTCAGTGGGTGTTGGGGTTTCACTTTCGTGAACTGGAGCTCTTCGTGTGGTTTCCTGTATCCAGGAAAAGGATAGATTGCTGGGGTGACGTCACTCCAGCTGATCCAGACTCCAAACAGTGATCTTTATGTAGAGTAGGTACCCAGAAAAAAATAGGGCAGTATCAGGTTCACCAATATTTGGAACATTTAATTCCTGAATTCTGTCAAAAAGTGAGTGTCTTGTATAGGAAGCTGAAATTGAAATTTAGTATAAAATGATTGTTGTACAGACAATCCTTTCAATAGAATCAGGTATAAAAAACTATTGCAATTAATAATATTTTAATTTAAAAAAAAAAAAAATTGAATAATTAAGAATAATGATAAGATAATGATAATAGTAAAATAAAATAATAACAAGATTTAATTATAATGATTATAATGCTCGTTATAATTGAGCAAAAAATGCTGCTTTCCTGACAGCAGTTCTGGCAGGCAAAAATATGAGCAAAAATAAGGTACATAAAACAATAAAAAGAAATTAAATCTCTGGATTCTCCCCTAAACAGACAAAATTTTCCTCTCGAATCAGGGTAGCTACCACAGATACTAGATAAACCTGGGGTTGAAATTAATCAAATCCAGAATGTGTCAAAATTCTTGAGATGTTTTAATTAGAACTGTCTGGATTTCCATTAAAAAATTACACCCTTTAGTTGAGATAATAATTTAGGGAATCAAACAGAAAATGGCTGTTCAGGCCTCTGCCTGGATTCAATAAAGAGTTAATGGGGATGGACTCGAAAATTTGGTTTTCACCGACTCTATTTAGAGCAAATGGTCCAATATTCCCACACTAAAAATAGATTCTAGAAACCAGAGCAGCAATACCTATTTAAAATCCAAAAATCTGTGTTGACTTACCTCTTAACAAAACGTGGCACTAACTAATAAGCAATCACACAAAATGGAAGCTAACAATTAGATAAAAAAAAAACTAAAATATAATATTTATATTTCAAGAACAGATAAGATAAGATTTATCAGGTAAAAACTTAATAAAGATATGATAATATGAATAATGAAAAATCTACAAGGGAGGATCCAGAAATTCAAAGCAAAAATTATTTAAAAATAAAGAGGACTTGCCTGCCAGACTTGCTATCAAGGAAAGAGGACGTTTTAGAGACCAAAGCTAGCAGGAAAACGATCCTGTGTTTTTTATACTTAACTGCATTCCAATTAGCTTCAACCAATCAGACGAGTACACCCAGAAGACCATATTCACTTCACAATGAAAGACCGCATGGAATAAAAGAGAATGGATAAAAATCCACTAGAATTATTTTAATTGTCTACAAATTATAATAATTTAAATTAAGGTTATGTCAAAAATTGCTAAAAGTGAGATAAATATAATTATGACTGTCAAATGCAAATTAACCAAAAATCATAGTTTGAAAAATAAATTCATCGGGCACTAGATGGCAGTACCGGTAAGATATCCGCACTTTACGGACATGATGGATAGATGGCAGCACTTGTATTATTTGAATTTGAATTTTGTGGATATTATTTGGCTGCTTCTAAAATGGAAATAATACGACTTTATAATGAAAATAAGGAGACATGTTACGTAAATGATAAATTTATCGTAACAACATATAGCACTCCAGTGACCTCTGCGTAAACAAGATCTACATTCAGAGAACTGTGCTGGACATTTCTCCCTATCTTTGCATGTATGTATACCGCAGTATGCACACTTATCACCTTCTTTGGAAGTTCTTTGTTTAGAAAAAATATTTATCCTTGTGCCTTTCGTCTTTGTGATCATGCTTAACAGCACTAACTGCTCCTGCCTCATGATTTTGTTTTGAGCATCCTGAAGTTCAGCTTGGCGTGCCATTTGGATTGCCTTCTCAAGTGTTAGGCTGTCATTCAGCTGCATCCTTTCACTCACTTTTATGTCAGCTATACCTATGACAATCCGGTCTCGGATTAACTCCTCTTTGAGAAAACCATAGCTACAATACTCTGCAAGAGCATGTAGACTTGAAATGAAATTTCCTACGGGCTCTCCTGGTCTCTCTGGAATCTGCAATCTTTCAAAGATAATATTTCGCAGGGCAATAAAATGAATATCGAAAATCTGGCAATATCTCTGTTTTTGAAGTAAAATATCATCGGTTCCATTTACCATCAAATAGGTACACCAAAAGATCCAATTTGTCTTTCGCACCCTCGTGCCGGAAATGTCTCTTCCCGCAAGCGTTAGGAACTATATTTTTTCTACGAGCGTACTAAATGTGATGTTACGAAAAATGTAATTCAAATAAAATGCAACTCTGCAAAAGGTACCGCATCAGGTACAACATCTAATATCAGAGTAGTTGATGATTGTCCTGTCCTCGATGGCCGTAGTTCAGTTTAGACTACGCTAACATGTTCATCCATATATAGGCCACTCAAGTTCGAGCTTTAACCCATTCACCAAGATGTTGATTCTCGCACTCTTATGAAGCCATAATAAATTGTGATGACCTGACAGAAACAAATCTACGGAGGCAAATACCTTGGTTAATTCCTTTTTCAAAAGTTTGATTCAAATCCAATGAATTTTTCTTTTGTAGACAAGCCGACGCAAATGCCAGGGCACTGAACGGATTCACGCCTCTACATATAGCCTGCAAGAAAAACCGGATAAAGGTGGTGGAGTTACTATTAAAACATGGAGCCAGTAAGTGATTATCCCTTAAGGGCTATAAGAAACTTATTTTTTTCTTTCCTCACAGGCATTGGTGCTACAACAGAATCAGGGCTTACGCCTTTACATGTAGCCAGCTTTATGGGCTGCATGAACATCGTCATCTATCTACTACAGCACGATGCTAACCCAGACGCTCCAACGATAAGAGGCGAAACTCCTTTGCATTTAGCTGCTCGTGCAAACCAAGTAAAAATCCAACCTTTTTGTAAAAACTCTCGTTTATAAACCATTTAATTTCAGACGGATATTATTCGGATATTGCTCCGGAACGGTGCCCAAGTAGATGCGAGAGCTCGCGAGCAACAAACGCCTCTACATATAGCTTCGCGACTCGGAAACGTCGATATAGTGATGCTACTTCTTCAACATGGTTCTAAAGTTGATAGCACCACCAAGGACTTGTACACGGCGTTGCACATTGCCGCCAAGGAGGGCCAAGACGAGGTAAATGGGGCGAAACGGGTCAGGTGGGGCAGTATTATCGAGAATTGCGAGAAACGGAATAAGGAGTATTTGATTTAGGATTATTGGGAGTTAAAGGCACGTTCGATTTATTCATGGGAGTTGATCAAGTTTCTACAAATGATAATTATTGAAGGCAAGATTGAAGACAAAAAGGAGATTGAAAGAAAGAAAATGTCTTGATAGTCTATTCAGATTACAAGAAAATCTATGGACAAACTGACTTGATCAATTCACTTGGATAATAGATATAGAAGCGCCTCAATTGATCTTTGTTACTTGGTGTAGAAATGCACGTGTTTAATCCAATCTAAAATTTGCAATAAACTTGAGAGTAACTTACTTTTTTCAATTTAAATATAGTCATAGATCATAATTGCTCCAAATACCTATCTATTAAATCCATCCAAGTGTATATTTAATAATAAGCCAAAACTTTTATGCCCAAAATATTGCCAAAGAAAAAAAGGGCTTCCATAATGCTTTCTACAATAATTGTTCCTATAAATAATATAATCAGTATAAATTGTTGTTAAAATACAAAAAACTTGTCAATATATGCCTTGTTAAATAAATCATTTTATTTTATTAATGATTGATGATCCTTTGGTTAATCATATACCCCCGATTGGTGGGAAACATGTTTCGATAACAAAACGGTAATGTATAAATACATAATTTAAATGTAGAATTAATTATTTTAAAACTTAAATCTCTCGATATTTATTTGTATTAATTTTTAGGTCGCCGGCGTACTAATCGACAATGGAGCCTCGATAAACGCCACAACCAAAAAAGGCTTCACACCTCTACATCTAGCCTCAAAATACGGCAACTTAAAGGTAGCCAAATTGCTCCTGCAAAAAGAAGCTCCGGTAGATGCTCAAGGCAAAAACGGAGTCACTCCGCTTCATGTAGCTTCGCATTATGACCATCAGAACGTAGCTCTTTTGCTGCTGGACAAAGGAGCGTCACCTCACGCGACAGCTAAGAACGGTCACACTCCGTTGCATATTGCCGCAAGAAAGAACCAAATGGACATTGCCAATACGCTTTTGGAATACGGTGCGCAACCGAATGCGGAATCTAAGGCCGGGTTTACGCCTTTGCATTTGAGCGCTCAGGAAGGTCATGTTGATATGTCTTCGTTACTTTTAGAACATAAAGCTGATCCTAACCATGAGGCAAAGGTAAGATTTAGTTCACTTTTTATTAGAATCGTGACCAAAGAAAACAGAATGAAGAAAATTGCCACTTCTTCTTGTAGCAATACATATATATACCTTCACTGGAAGCGTCACATTGTATTGAATTTTAATGTATGTTGGGTCTCTTGATTCCGAGGGGTGGTTAATTCCTTAAAATATGTACACAGATTTTTAAATCTTCATAGATTTTGTAGGATTTTGAAAATCTTCATATGATTTTACAAGATTTTAGGTGATTTTCAAACATTTTAGGGAAGTTAGAAGGATTTTTAGAGATCCTAACGGATTTTTAGAGATTTCAGCGGATTTTTGGGGATCCCAAAGGATTTTTGGAAATGTTAAAGGAATTTTTTTATTAGGAATTTTATAGAATTTTGCCAAAATTTTTTTGTTCTAATAAAATTTTGTTATGTTTTTAAAGATTTTGAAGATTTTCAGGGATTTTAAATAAATCTTACGAGTTTTTTTGGGGATTTTGACCAACTTGTATACAAATTTTGTGTGATTTTTAAGGGATTTTGTGAGATTTTGTTAAATTTTTAAAGATTTTCAGGGACTTTAAATATAGATATATTATCTACAAATTTTTCTGGACTGTACACAGATTTTAATCAATCAACCGCTCCGAGGTTTAGTTAACTCTATAAAATAATAAACACATATTTAAATCTTAATTGATTTTGTAGGACTTTGGGAATTTTGAAAATCTTCACACGAGTTCAAAAAATTTCAGATTTTAAAAATTTTAGGTGATTCTGGATCATTTTAGGGGTTTTTGAAAAGTTTTTAGAGATTCTAAATTCAAATGACAAATTTGAATGGAAAAAAGGAAATTCCTAGACATTTTACTATAGGATTTCATAATACTTTTCCGAATTTCATCATATGATTCTATGGAATTCCACCATGAAATTCAATGAAACTCTTAGACAAGAATTCCTCGGAATTACACTTTTTCTTCGGCATTCCACTGAAATTTCAAATTATTCCATGGGAATTCTGCGAAAATTTTTGTTAATTCCATAGAAATTCCTTAAAATTTCACTAGAAGATTTTATGGAATTCCTCGAAATTCCATTAAAATGAAAAATTTAAATAGAAAAACAGAAAGTCCTGGAAATGTTACCATAAGATTTCATAATACTTTTCCGAATTTCACCATAAGATTCCATGGAATCCCACCATAAAATTCAATAGAGTCCTTGTACAAAAATTCCTCGGATTTACAGTAAAATATTTCATGAAATTTCTCGGAATTGCACTAAAATTTAAGTAATTCGACAAAAATTACTCAGAATTTCACTAAAATTTACTTCAATTCTTCGGAATTCCGCCGAAATGTCTCGGGATTCCATGAAAATTTCACAGAAATTCTGTTTAATTCCAAGGGAATTCTTCAGATTCCATATAATTTCACTACCAGAATTCCACATTAAGATTTCAAGGAATTCCATGTATGTAATTCGACAAGCATTCTTTGGAATTTTACTCCATATTTCATCGAAATTTCATGTAAGTCGACACAAAGTGAAATTATATATAATTTGATGAAAATTCTGCGAATATTTCATAATTTTTATTTTTTTTTTCAAAATCCCACTGAAATTCTCCAAAATTCTTTAGAAATTCCAAACTCCATAATTTTTTTAAAACTCTACTGAAATTCCCCAAAACTTCACCACTGAAATATCCTGGAATTCCACAAAATTTTCATAAAATCTTTCGGATTTCACTGACATTTCCTGTAATTTCTTAGAAGTTCCTCGGAATTTCACTAAAATTTCACTGAAATTCGACGTTATTAGACGAAAATTTCTCGAAATTTCAAATTTTTTTCAAAATTTCATTTATTTCCATAAGAATTTTTTGGAATTTAATTGAAATTATCTTTCAATAGTCAGGAATTTCTGGTAATAATAATGAAACTTCAAGTAATTCCTTGAAAATTCACAGAAATTCCTCCGAAATATATTGAAATTTCATATCATTACATGGGAATTTTTTCAAATTTCACCGAAATTCCAGGGTTTTAGCCGGAAATTCCTCGAAATTCCACTTGTGAAATTTTCTCTAATTTCATTTTAATTCAGTAATTCGATGGGAATTTTTCGGAATTTCAATTTCACTAAATTGCCATGTTTTTAACTGGGAATTCTTTGAAATAAAAATAAAACTTCATGTACCTAATTACATTAGGATTTTTCGGAATTTCACTGGAATTCGTTATGAAACGATAAGAGATGTTCAAAACTCCACTTGAATTTCATGTAATTCCCCGACAATTCCTTGGAATTCCATGTAATTGTATCGGAGCTCCATATAATTCGACCAAAACTCCTCGGAATTCATGTAATTTTTTAAAACTTTTTTAATATTCTTTATGTAATTTAACGAGCACTGAAATTTCATGTCGATTGTTTAGAATTCCTTCATGTACCTCATTTAGGATTTCATGTAATTCGATCGAAATTCCACTAAAATTTCATCTAATTTCTCGAAATTTCATGTACCTAATTCGAGAGGAATTAAAATTTAATTTGAATTCTATGAAAACTCCGCAAAAATTTCACATGTCACATTTCACACCATAAAATTCAATGGCATTCTTGGAATTTTTTTTTCTTCGGAATTACATTGTAAGATTTCATGAAATTCTTCGAAATTCCACTTAAATTTCAAGTTAGTTCATGGGAATTCTGCGAAAATTTTAGTCAATTCCATAGAAATTCCCTCGAAAATTCCTCAGAAGATTTTATGGAATTCCTCGAAATTCCATTCAAGTGATAAATTTGAATGGAAAAACGTAAATTCCTAGAAGTTTTACTACAAGATTTTATAATACTTTTCCGAATTTCATCATAAGATTCTATGGAATTCCACCATAAAATTTAATGGAATTCGTGCACAAAAATTCCTCAAAATTACACTATGAAATTTCAAGTTATTTCATGGAAACTCCGTGAAAATTTTGGTTATTCTCATAGAAATTCCTTGGAATTTCAACAGAAGATTTTATAAAATTCAAATGGTAAATTTGAATGGAAAAACGGAAATTCCTAAAAATTGTACTATGTATAAGATTTCATAATATTTTTCCAAATTTCACCATAGGATTTCATGGAGCTCCACAATAAAATTCAATGGAATTCATGAACAAAAATTCCTCGGAATTACATTACGAAATTTCATGAAATTCTTCGGAAATCCACTAAAATTTCAAGTTATTCCATAGGAATTCCGCGAAAATTTTAAGTTATTCCATAGAAATTCCTTAACATTCACCAGACGATTTTATGGAATTCTTAGACAATTTTTTTTTCGGAAATACAGTATAGGATTTCATGAAACTCCTCGGAATTCCACTAAAATTTCAATTTCAAAATGATATACATAATTTTTTTTTCAACTTTACTGAAATTCACCACTAAATTATCCTAGATTTCTACAAAATTTTTATAAAATTCTTCGGAATTTCATTGACATCTCATGTAATTTCTCAAAAATTCGTCGGAATTTACTAAAATTTTATGAGGATATTTTGAAATTCCACGTTCATAGCCGAAGAATTCTCGGAAGTCCAATAAAACTTCAAGAAATTACTCAAAATTTCATTTATTTTCATAAAAATTTTCGGAATTTCACTGAATAGCCAGGAACTTCTGGGAATATTAATGAAACTTCAAGTAATTTCTTGAAAATTCACCGAAATATATTGAAATTTCATGGGAATTTTTCGGAATATCACCAAAATTCCATGTTTTTAGCCGGAAATTTCTCGTCATTCCACATGTGGAATTTTCTGGAGTTTGTCATTCAAGAGGAACTAAAATTTAATGTGAATTCTATGGAAACTCCGCAAAAATTCAACATGTAGGTAATTCCTTTTTCAGAATAACATAATTCTACCAAAATTCCTCGAAATTCCACTAAATTATGGAATTCTGAGAGAATTTTGGGGATTCCAAAGGATTTCTGGGAATTTCAAAGGAAACATTTTTTAGGAATGTTAATGATTTTATGAGATTTTGCAGGATTTTTTTGGTTTTAATGAAATTTTGTTAGATTTTGTAGGATTTTATTCAATTTCAAGAGATTTTGTTAAGGATTTCAAATATTTTTAGGTATTTTGAGTAGATTTTATGAGATTTTCTGAGATTTTGACCAATTTGTACATGGATTTTGACCAGTCAACCACCCCTTGCTTATTTCTATCATGGCTGAAAGATTTGAAATGAATTTTGGAAAATATTTTACTCAACTGTGATAGAATGTAAACCAATAAAAAATGGAAAATCTTATATAGGTACTCATTCTGTAAACTTCTGAAACACTTTCTATCCAACATCCTCAACCAACTTTTCTTCTCACCTGAGGCATCTTTCTAATTTTCCTCATGTTATACATCCACAGAACGGTCTTGGTCCATTGCATCTTTGTGCCCAAGAAGACCGAGTCCCTGTAGCCGAAGTCCTAGTGAAAAACGGAGCTCACGTAGACGCAGCTACTAAAGCCGGCTACACGCCTTTGCACATAGCTTGCCATTACGGCCAAGCGAATATGGTACGATTTTTATTGAAAAACGGAGCTCCGGTGCAAAGTTCCACGTCTCTAGGCTACACTTCTCTACATCAAGCCGCTCAACAGGGTCACGCGAATATCGTCAACATTTTGCTGGAAAGTAAAGCTGATCCTGATGCTGTAACAACGGTAAGAAAAGTTGAACAATGATTCGCTTTTGTAGCAATAATTGTTTTGTTGTAGAATGGTCAAACTCCTTATGATATAGCCCAAAAACTCGGTTATATTTCGGTTATAGAAACTTTGAAGGTGGTTACAACTGTTATTGATGTTACAACAACTACCACTACAACTGTAGAGGAAAAATATAGGGTGCAAGCTCCGGAGGCGATGCAGGAAACTTTTATGTCCGATTCCGAAGAAGAAGGCGGTAAGTTGTATTTTATTGTATTTAGTCATTCTATGATTTCATTCATTATTCATTGCCCATGTGTAATGGTTCTTAGGAATTCAATAAAATCTAGTTCCATTATAACTATTGCGTGATGCAATATTTGATGAGTAGAGGAATGCTTTATATTTTTTTTTGTATTGCATGGCTTTTGCTAACAGAATTTTTTTGAGGCTAAATTCAAATTTTTATTAATTAATCATTAAGACAAGTAGTGTAGTCTTATACACCTCTCCATCAACCATTTTAATTCTATAAGCAACATCGCTCTGTTAGAGAGATCTCGCACATTCGGGACCTTCAAAAGTTATTAAATTTATAAGTGAATGATTCACTTAGCGGTTTTATAAATATTTATTCGTCAAATGGTTTTACGCTGAGAGGAGAAGCAGCAGCAGGCGATTTTCGATTTAATTTGCGGGAAAATCGCGTCGAGAAACGAGTTATTTTTCTGTGGTGGCGCTCACGGTGTGATTTTTGTTGATTGGTGATTTTTTCGAAAACGAACTTTGTGGTGATTCAAAATGGTGAAAGAGAAAAAGTATAGGGTGATCACTGTGATTCGAAGAGGTGCGTACCAGAAATATTTTCCAATTTTGGATGAAAATCTCAATTTTGACTTCAGAAATTTTCTTACAGTCTGACATGCTCTCAAAGTTTTGCTGACAGTTTTGGTGATTTTTAACGAATCAACTTGCATTATAGGTTTTCAGAAAGAAGCTACAATTCTCTCGAAAAAAGATACTACAAAGTTGCTTTTATAAGTTTTGAGAAATTAGGCTTTTGGGAACGGTGATTTTATGAGAAAAAAAAATCGATCTCAATTTTGATTTCAGCGATTTTCTCAATGTCTGATATGGTCTCATAATTTTGCACACAATTTTAGGAATTCTCAATGAATCAGCTTGTATTATAGGTTTTCTGAACGAACATAAAATTCTCTATGAAACCTTTAAAAATTATACCAGGTTTTGAGAAATCAGGCTTCAAATTTGGAATTTGACTCAATTTTACTTGTAAACTATTGCAATTTTGAGGGTGGTTGGGAGAAAACAAAAATCTCAAATAAAGATAACAAAAAGCAAAACATGACTGACCTTTACTTCACCTACAAAAAAATCCTATAATTATTTTTTCTTTAATTGGACAAAATAATTTTGCATTTGATATAAAGTCAAAACACTTTCCAACTAATTAATTTCACGTAATTACTATATATAAAACAGACAATTGATAAATTAGAAATAATGAATCATTGAAAAAATATGCAACGATGAAGTAACTCATAATTATTATTATAATCATGATAAAAGTACAAAAACGCCATTCATTGTTTATAGCGATTACCTAATAAATCGGCCTAGACTTCTATTACCAGCCTTGTTTGACCTCTCAGTTAATCGTCCATTTAATTCTTAAGCAGGTGAACTAGTAAGATTTGAAAGGTCTGTTCTTATAACAATTCGTGAACTGTCAGAAGTAATCGCTTGGAACACAGTTTGCAAACTTTTGTGGGAACAGACCAGACTTGAAGTCTTACCATTATTACCTTTTTGACCTCGAGGTTTGATTAATTGAATCGTGCATAATAACAAATGATGTCACTTATATATGTAAAAGAATTTAAAAAATGTTGTTTTCTTCAACAAGACCTCGTTACTTTTTTGTTTATCCAATACATCGATATACGATTTTTGGCACTGAAAAACATATAAAATTTTACTAGTACTTTTTATGTGTGTGTAGTAAAATTTAGAAAAATCTATTTGAAAGTTTTGACCATGAACAATCAAAAAACATAGCGATGACATCACTTTTTGCGTTTGACTGACAAGAACATGATTAAATTTTTGGTTCAAAACTGACCTATTATCCACCCAAAAATCAGAAATTGAAGACACCTTCGCAATAATAATTAACCAATTTGCATATTATGATGTCACTTTAAAACGACATTGGGTTTAAACGGCGTATTATTACCTACATAATATGTATAGGTCAGATTTAAAATTAGCCATTGCACTGCGAACAATATAAATGTTGAGGAAAATAGAAGAATAAAAATTAATTGCCTGTTTTGTCTTGAGTTTATTCCATAGTAAAATCTATTTCAGTAGTGAAGTTATTGGAGTAGTTTTCATTTTAGAAATCAACTTTTGATTATTCCCGGCTTTTGATTTGTTTGACTGAATGGTTTTTGAATTCAGAAAAGATAGATGTACTAGAGATACTCTTCTACTCAAGTTCAACTTTGAGGCTAAATTGTTCAAAAAGTATTAGAGCTATCAGGACCAGTTTAACACACAATTTTGACAGCTGTCAAAATCTAAAACCTGTGTATAAGTTTTTAAATAACTAGAACAGAACTAGAGTTCAGTTTTTTTTTTCTTCAACTAAAGCTAATGTCAGATTCTGACAGCTGTCAAAATTTGATGTCTATGAGTTTTGTTTAATGATTTATCACCAATAAACTACCTTCAAACGAAAAAGGGTGAAATTGGATTTTTTTTGTTACTAAAGCAAATGACAAGTTTCGACATTTCTGTCTTTTTTTTTTCAATTTCTGAACTGAGAGTTTAATGACACAACATGAAATATTGAAAATTGGAAAATATGAGTGCTGCCGTTTGCCAGGGTTTTGACAGATGTCAAAATGGTTGACATTTTTCGATTTTCCTTGGTTGACTTATTGGGAATCGATACTTGCTTCATCAAAATCTGCCATAGTTATACCCTGCTTTTGAATATTAGATTCCAATATTTGACAGCTGATACCGTCTCACCTGTCATATATACAATTTTGCTTATAGCATTTTCAATAACAAACTCAAATTTCATCCAAATATCATCAAAATCTGCCATAGTAACTCTGCTTTTGGATATAAGATTCCAATGTTTGACAGCTAACCACGCCTCACCTGTCATATATACAGGATTGTGCCCATGGTGAAAAATGTTGCTTACGGTATCCCCAATAACATATTTAAATTTCATCCAACTATCACGGGTAACCAATTTCCATTTAAATATTGCGGGGTCCTTTCGAGGATTTGACCCCCCAAATTTTTCGACGTCATGATGTTATCCTATTACAGGATGCTGTAACGGTTAATACGGAAACTTCGTGAATCATCATGCCGCCGACGTTTAATGAGGAAACAAATAGGGGTACCATGTTTCACGGTTATTTTTACTTATAACTGATAAGCGTTTCCATTCTAGCAAAAACAACAAACTCAGACTTGCATTTATATTTTGTCGATGATAAACATGCATGTATTTTTTCACTGCCGAGTGGAGAATTTCCCTGATACATAACCTGAAATTTTAAAGATTTTCGGATGCTGCCCAAGCGCTGGATCTATAGAGATTAATTTCATTCCTTAAGATTTCCCACTATTTTTCCAAGGTTTCTCCCGAATTCCATAAAAACTTCCTCGATTTCCCTTGATTGCCTTGAATTTGCTCTTGATTTTCCCTAGTTTATACACCAGACTTTCTTTGCGGTTTACCCCTGAGGGATAACCATGAATTATTTCCCCAGTTTTTTTCTGATACAAATAAGATTGCCCAAGAGTTCTCATAATAACAACACTTCAAATTATAAAGATATTTAAAAACTGTGCATGCGCTGGATCTAGAGATTGATTGATTTCCTTAAAATTTTCCCTGAATTCTTTAAGAATTTCCTTGACATCCCCTGAGTGCCTTAAATTTTCTCTTGATTTCCCCTAGTTTGTAGACCAGATTTCCCATTAATTATTTCCCCAGATTTCTTTTGACTACCAGTAAGATTGCCCAAAAGTTTCCCTAATAACATAATCTCAAATTAGAAAGTTTTTTGAAAACTGCGCATGCGCTGAATCTAGAAATTGACTGATTTTCTCAAGATTTTCCATAATTTCCTGAAGATTGCGTCCGAGATCCTTAAGATTTTCATTGATTTCCTCATAATTTTTCCTGATTACTTTAGATTTCCTCAGATTTCTTCTTGATTTCTCCTAATTTGTACATTAAATTTCCCTTGCGGTTTACCCCTGAGGGGGTTTTTGTACACCAGATTCCGGTTTTAGAGGAAACCAATAATTATTTCCCCAGATTTCTTTTGTCTACCAGTAAGATTGCCCAAGAGTTTCCCTAAAAGAGGATATTTGATGCCAATTAAGACAGAAAGACATAGTTTTTCTATTCCAGGCTCTCATATTTTATCTATTTTTCTAAATTTTCTTTATTTGAACAAGCTCAGAAGATATTGAAGATTCAAGAGCCAGGAATTGACAAAAATTGAGACAAAGAAATTGAGAAATGAAGAGGAAATTTGAGGCATTTGACATTTGTTGGACAAAAAGACGTATAGTTTTTCTATTCCTGGTTCTCATATTTTGTCTGTTTTTCTAAATTTTCTTTATTCAAAGGAGTTTAGAAGATATTGAAAATTCAAGCGCCAGGAATAGACAAAAATTGATTCAATGAAATTGAGAAATAAAGAGGAAATTTAAAGTAAATTGAAGAATAACTGTTAGACAAAAAGATGTAGTTTTCCTATTCCTGGCTCTCATATTTTGACTATTTTTCTGAATTTTCTCTCTTTAAAGAAGCTTAGAAGATATTGAAGATTCAAGAGCTAGGAATAAACAAAAATTGAGACAAAGAAATTGAGAAATACCCAAATGGCACAAACATATTGCAGGAATATTCGTGGCATATTTCATGGGAATATAAAGATATCCGATGCATATGCCATGAAGATCTTTTCATGTGACAGGAATATCCAAGGCATATGCCTAAGTCACCAGTAATGGGGGCACCTGAGCCTGAGGAAGGACCCCGCAAATATTTAAACGGAAATTGGTTACCCGTGATATTTGGAGTGGCAACCATGTATATATGACAGGTGAGGCGGTATTGGCTGTTAAATATTGGAATTTCATATTCAAAAGCTACCTATGGCAGATTTTAATGAAGCAAGATTCCTACTAAGTCGAACAAGGTATATCGAAAAATGTCAATCATTTTGACATTTGTCAAAACCCTGCCAAACAGCAGCACTCATATTTTTCAGTTTTCAATATTTTATGATGTGTCATTTGATAGTTTTAGTCTAAGTCAATTCTGAGTTGAAAACTTGGTAAAAAAATGACAGAACTGTCAAAACCTGTCATTCATTTTAGTAGGAAAAAAGATTCATGTCTGGTTCTTTTTTGTTTTAAGGTAGTTTATTGGTATTAAAACATTAAGCAAAGCTCATAGACATCAAATTTTGACAGCTGTCAAAATCTGAAACCTGTGTATAAGTTTGTTTATGCTTCATAATAAATAAGCATAACCTAAATAATTGGAACAAAACTATAGTTCAGTTTTTTTTTCTTCAATTAAAGCTAATGTCAGATTCTGACAGCTGTCAAAATTTGATGTCTATGAGTTTTGTTTAATGATTTATCACCAATAAACTACCTTCAAACGAAAAAGGGCCAAATTGGAATTTTTTTTTGTTACTAAAACAAATGACAATAAGTTTTGACATTTCTGTAATTTTTTTTTTCCAATTTCTGAACTGAGAGTTTACATAGGTTGGAACTGTCAAATGACACAACGTGAAATATTGAAAATTGAAAAATATGAGTGCTGCCGTTTGGCAGGGTTTTGACAGATGTCAAAATGGTTGACATTTTTCGATTTTCCTTGGTTGACTTATTGGGAATCGATATCTGCTCCATCAAAATCTGGCATAGTTACCCTGCTTTTGAATATTAGATTCTAATATTTGACAGCCGGTACAGCCTCACCTGTCATATATACAAGGTTGGACCCATGGTAAAAAATGTTGCTCACGGCATTTTTAAAAACATATCTGTGTATTTTTCCGTGTATTTATTCATGTAGTTCAGGGTGCCAACATTATTTAGTTTTTCATAATGCTGATTTATGTTGCGTTTGAAGTTTTTCGGATGTCACCCTGAACTTCATAAATAAATACACGGAAAATACACAGATGTAATACGGGCATAATTGTAGGCAATTTGCTCAAATATCATCGAAGAAATGAGCAATTATTCATGAGCATGTCAAGATTTCGGAAAATTTCCAGAGCCAAAAATAAGATTTCCTTTTTGGATTTTTTTGCTCATTGAAATTTTTAAAGTTAATTGGTGTAAAAGTTGTTTCTGACTAATTTGGACCCGCTCTATCGACTAAAAAAGTCAATCAAGAGCCGAGAATAAGAAAAAATTGATTGAAAAATGAGCCAAACTATTGCTTACCTCATAACGTCAACAAAATCCTCATTAACAGTGAAAACTATTCAACTGCTCATTAAAAAGTAAATATTTGGAAGTTTAATAATTGATAGGTGCTAAAAACTCACGAACATTCCACGTAAAACAACTAAAGGGGCAGGTTTTAAAGGTGCATACGTAAGTTTTCCATATTGGAATATCGAATTGCAAATCCAATATGTCTATAGGAATAGAGGGAAAAAATAGATTTAGTTCCTTTGCATTCGTGTTGGGAGGAAATTGTTTACGTGAAAAATGACTTTTATAGTGCGAGTTTTGAGTGTAAATAGATTAGGTAATCATTGTTCTATAGGGTTTTAGCAGGTATAGAGGGGTAGTAAATTATTAATCCTGATAGAGAAATAGATATCTAGAAATTTTGTTAAAACCTTAGGTAGTGAAAGACTGGAACTTAAAGTTGAAGCTCTTTTATAGAGAAAATTTTGAGCTATTATAGGGTCTTTTTTTTATTATTAAAAGATGCTTAGAGCTTATTATGTGTCGCTTTCAAATCTAATAGTAACATAAGAAAAACCTAAAAACTCTCCCTCAAAACAGGGGAGGACGTTGAGGGATTCGGCACCGCACTACACGAACGTCACGTTTACCTTCCATATTTCAATGGCAGCACTTTGCAAACTCGTAAGTTCTATATTCATAATTTTTACAAAACACAGACATCATCAGAGAGGGTAATCGTTAATTAATTTTGCCAAAGCTAACACACGCCTATATTAGATTTATTTTTATTGTGGTATTTTTAGAATTTTTGAACATTGAGATTCTTCAATAATGTTTTGTGAAATTTGAGTGGAAATTTCATATTAAAACTTCTCTAATTAACACCTTATCTAAAGAAAACATCAATTTCAATTTGCTTCTAATTCCAATTAAAGCACTTTATTAAAAAAATTGACCCGATTGAGTCAGACGTGACACCATATGGCTGGGAAACATTTCAAACTGTTTACTCGTTTTAAGGTTTACATTGTCGAAATTCCACACACGATTTTATATGTTTTACACAAGCACGTGACCTCAAAAACTCAAAAACATATTTTCAAAATTGGCACAGCATAATAAATTCCAATAATTCAATATAGCCGAAAATAAACCACGATTTTTATATTTCCACTTGAATCTCATCAATTCGTAACAGTTGGGAATTATTTTTAGGAAAAGTGAAATTGATTTTTCCAGGTGAAGACGCAGCCTTAGGCGATCAGACGTACAGATACTTGACTGCAGACGAAATGAAATCATTGGGTGATGATTCCCTGCCCATAGACGTAACCAGAGATGAAAGAATCGATTCAAATCGAATGGTAGGCAGCATCGACAGCAACATGTTGCCCACCCAACACATTGAAGACTCCATTAGCCCTGAACATGTTTCCAGAACCTACACCGAATACATTAAAAAATATACTCCGGATAATATTGACATCAATAGGCATCCGATTAATATTGGGTAAGAAATCATTTTATTGTAAATTTTGTAATTTTTAAAAAAACAATCTTTGTTAAAAATAATGCTTTCTAAAAAGGAAACTGCACTGGAAGAAGTAAGTCAACTAACCACCAAAAACCAATTATTTCAACTATATGTAATACATTTTCTGTTTCTGGTAGTTTCCTAGTATCATTCCTAGTAGACGCAAGAGGTGGTGCCATGAGAGGCTGTAGACATTCCGGAGTACGAGTAATAGTACCGCCAAGGTGCGCGCCGAGTCCTACTAGGATCACTTGCCGGTACGTGCGACCGCAACGGACCCCGCATCCGCCCCCTCTGATGGAGGGCGAGGCTCTGGCGAGTCGGGTTTTGGAATTGGGGCCTGTTGGTGCTAAGTTTTTAGGGTAAGAATTGTTTAAAAATAAACGAAAATCTACCTTAAAACGTAGAAGAGGGTTATAGACACAGGTTCAATATACAAGAATTTTTAGCAGAGCAAAATGTTTTTAGAAGTCAACCAGAATTTACACAAAAAACAGGAAAAATTTCTGTTCATTTTAAGCTAGATCTTTGAGAATCCGACTGGTAGTATAGTAGGCCTTATAGTCCAGGATCCACCAACCCTTTGAAGATAATAATTATCTGGCAAAATCTGGAAACTTCTTCTAAGATTCATTGCTTTGTTGATATGTTCAGTTCATGGAAAAATTATTCACTGAGTTTACTTTTCTTACATGTCATTTGGTGCCTGTAATTAGGTACAGGGTGGTCCAACTTACAGCCACAATTTTCACTAAAAATTTCACAATTTTCCCTTCAATAGTTTAAAATGTAGGTACCAGGGTGCATTTTTGCTTAATTTGGATTTTGCAAGGTAATATTCATTGAGTTTCCATTACGGTATTTTTTACTGGAAAAGTTTAAAATTTCATTATGATGAGCTCCTAACTTTCCCCTTTTTCTTCTAAAAGTTTCATAATTTTCCTTCTGGTAGTTTTTCAGAAAACAATTAAAATGTATGAGGGTACATTTTTGCTTAATTTGAATTTTGCAAGGTAATATTCATTAACTTTCTATTCTGTTATTTTTTGCTGGAAAACTTTTAAATTTTACTATATTGAGCTCCTAATTTTTCTCGTTTTCTCCTAAAAGTTTCATAATTTTCCCTCCAATAGTTTTCCAGAAAAAAACTAAAATGTACGAGGGTGCATTTTTGCTTAATTGGGATTTGGCAAGGTGATATTCATTAATTTTCCATTCTGTTATTTTTTACTGGAAAACTTTGAAATTTTTGTGTAATGAGCTACTAACTCTCTTCTTTTTTTCGTAAAAGGTTCATAACTTTCCCTTCAGTAGTTTTCTAGAAAAAAAATAAAATGTACGAGGGTGCATTTGTGCTTAATTTGGATTTTGCAAGGTAATATTCATTGAGTTTCCATTATGGTACTTTTCACTGGAAAAGTTTGTAATTTCATTATGATGAGCTCCTTACTTTCCCCTTTTTCTTCTAAACGTTTCATAATTTTTCTTCTGGTAGTTTTTCAGAAAACAATTAAAATGTACGAGGGTACATATTTGCTTAATTTGAATTTTGCAAGGTAGGTAATATTCATTAATTTTCCATTCTGTTATTTTTTACTAGAGAAATTTGAAATTTTAGTATAATGAGCTTCTAACTTTCCTCTTTTTTCCTAAAAGTTTCATAATTTGCCCTCCAGTAGTTTTCCAGAAAAAAACTAAAATGTACGATTTTACAAGATATTGGATGGTATGAATAAAAATGAAGTACTTGCTACTACTACCAGTATTAGTATGTTCTACGTAGTATTTACTTCAAAACGAAGTAGATACTACATTTCGACACTACCGGAAATTAGTAAATTAGTAGTATCTACTTCGTTTTGAAGTAAATACTACGTAGAACATACTAATACTACTACAGTAGTAGTATATTCTACGAAGTATTTACTTCAAAAAGTAGCATTTACTAATTTCCGGTGGTCTCGAAATGTAGCATCTACTTCATTTTAAAGTAAATACTACGGAGAATATACTACTACCTGTAGTAGTAGCAAGTACTTCGTTTTTATTCATACCACCCACTATTAATTAATTTTCCATTCTGTTATTTGTCACTGGAAAAGTCTGGAATTTTAGTTGTACGAGGACGAGCTCCCAACTCTCCTATTTTTCTCCTAAAAGTTTCATAATTTTTTCTGCAGTAGTTTTCCAGAGAAAAATTAAAATGTACGAGGGTGCATTTTTGCTTAATTTGGATTTGCAAGGTAATATTCATTAATTTTCTATTTTATCATTTTCCACTGGAAAAGGTTGAAATTTCAGTATGATAAGCTTATAACTTTCCTCTTTTTCTCCTAAAATTTTAATAATTTTCTTCCCAGTAGTTTTCCAGAAAAAAATTAAAATGTATGAAGGCATTTTTTCTTAATTGGGATTTGGTAAGGTGATATTCATTAATTTTCCATTATGTTACTTTTCAATAGAAACGTTTCAAATTTTAGTATAATGAGCTCCTAACCTTTCTCTTTTCCTCCTAAGATTTCCATAATTTTCCCTCAAGTAGTTTTGTAGAAAAAAATTAAAATGTACGAGGATACATTTTTGGTTAATTTGGATTTTGCAAGGTAATATTCAAAAATTTTCCATTCTGTTATTTTTCACTGGAGAAATTTGAAATTTTAGTATGATGAGCTCCTAACTTTCCTCTTTTTCTCCTAGAAGTTTCATAATTTTTGCTCCAGTAGTTTTTCAGAGAAAAATCAAAATGTACGGGGGTGCATTTTTACTTAATTTGCATTTTGTAAGGTAATATTCATTAATTTTTCATTCTGATATTTTTTACTGGAGAAATTTGAAATTTTAGTATAATGAGCTTCTAACCTTCCTCTTTTTCCCTAAAAGTTTCATAATTTTCCCTCCAGTAGTTTTCCAGAAAAAAAAAACTAAAATATACGGGGTGCATTTTTGCTTAATTTGGATTTTGCAAGGTAATATTCATTAACTTTCCATTCTGTTATTTTTTGCTGAAATACTTTGAAATTTTACTATAATGAGCTCCTAATTTTCCTCGTTTTCTCCCTAAAGTTTCATAATTTTCCCTCCAATAGTTTTCCAGAAAAAATTTAAAATGTACGAGGGTGCATTTTTGGTTAATTTGGATTTTGCAAGGTAATATTCAACAATTTTCCATTCTGTTATTTTTCACTGGAGAAATTTGAAATTTTATTATAATGAGCTCCTAACTTTTCTCTTTTTCTCCCATAATTTTCATAATTTTCCCTCCAGTAGTTTTCCAGAAAAAAATTAAAATATACGAGGTTACATTTTTGCTTAATTTGGATTTTGCAAGGTAAAATTCATTAATTTTCCATTCGGTTATTTTTCACTGGAGAAATTTGAAATTTTAGTATGATGAGTTCCTAGCTTTCCTCTTTTTCTCCTAGAAATTTCATAATTTTTCCTGCAGTAGTTTTTAAAGAAAAAAATTAGAATGTACGATTTTACATCTTTGCTTATTTGAATTTTGCAAAGTATCTAATATTTATTAATTTTCCATTCTGGTATTTTTTTCTGGAAAAATTTGAAATTTTAGTATGATGAACTCCTAACTTCTCTATTTTTCTATTAAAAGTTTCATAATTTTTCCTGCAGTAGTTTTCCAGTGAAAAATTAAAATGTACGATGGTGCATTTTTGCTTAATTTGGAATTTGCAAGGTAATATGCATTAATTTTCTATTCTATTATTTTTTACTGAAAAAAGTTGAAATTCAAGTATGATAAGCTTATATCTTCCTCTTTTCCTCCTAAAAGTTTCATAATTTTCTTCCCAGTAGTTTTCCAGAAAAAAATTAAAATGTACAAGGGGGCATTTTTGATTAATTTGGATTTTGCAAGGTAATATTCATTAGTTTCTCATTCTGTTATTCTAACTGGAAAACTTTAAATTTTTTGCAAAATGAGCTCCTAGCTTTCTTCTTTTTCTCCTTGAAGTTTCATAATTTTCCCTCTAGTAGTTTTCCGGAAAACCATTAAAATTTATGCGGATGCATTTTAGCCTAATTTGGATTTTGCAAGGTAATGTTCATTAATTTTTCATTATGGTGTTTTTTACTGGAAAAGTTTGAAATTTTATTATAATGAGCTCCTAACTTTTCTCTTTTTCTCCCATAATTTTCATAATTTTCCCCCCAGTAGTTTTCCAGAAAAAAATTAAAATATACGAGGTTACATTTTTGCTAAATTTGGATTTTGCAAGGTAAAATTCATTAATTTTCCATTGTGTTATTTTTCATTGGAAAACTTTGAAATTTTTGTATAATGAGCTCTCAACTTTCCTCTTTTTTTCCAGAAAATTTCATAATTTTCTCTGCAGTAGTTTTCCAGAAAAAAATTAAAATGTACGAGGGTGCATTTTTGCTTAATTTGGATTTTTCAAGGTAATATTCATTAGTTTCTCATTCTGTTATTTTAACTGGAAAACTTTAAAATTTTTGCAAAATGAGCGACTAGCTTTCTTCTTTTTCTCCTTGAAGTTTCATAATTTTCCCTCTAGTAGTTTTCCAGGAAACCATTAAAATTTATGCGGATGCATTTTTGCTTAATTTGGATTTTGCAAGGTAATGTTCATTAATTTTCCATTATGGTATTTTTTATAATGAAGTATAATGAAGTCCTTACTTTTCTCTTTTTCTGCTAAAATTTTCATAATTTTCCCTCCAGAGTTTTCGAGAAAAAAATTAAAATATACGAAGTTACATTTTTACTTCATTCAGATGTTTCAAGGTAATATTCATTAATATTCCATTCTGTTATTTTTCACTGGAGAAATTTCAAATTTTAGTATGATTAGCTCCTAACTTTTCTCTTTTTCTCCTAAATGTTTCATAGTTTTGCCTGCAGTAATTTTCCAGAGAAAAATTCAAATGTACGAAGGTGCATTTTTGCTTAATTTGGATTTTGCAAGGTAATATTCATTAATTTTCCATTCTGTTATTTTTCACTAGAGACATTTGAAATTTTAGTATGATGAGATCCTAACTTTCCTCTTTTTCTCCAAAAATTTTCATAATTTTGCCTCTAGTAGTTTTCTAGAAAACAATTAAAATGTATGAGGGTGCATAATTGCTTAATTTGGATTTTGCAAGGTAATATTCATTAGTTTTCCATTCTGTTATTTTTAATATTTTCTACTGGAAAAGTTTGAAATTTTAGTATGATCAGCTCCTAACTTTCCTCTTTTTCTCCTTAAAGTTTCATAGTTTTCCCTGCAGTAGTTTTCCAGGAAAAAATTAAAATGTTCGAGGGTGCATTTTTGCTTAATTTAGATATTGCAAGTAGATTTGCATTTATTTCCCATTTGTTTATTTTTCACTGAAAATGTTCGAAATTTTAGTATGATGAGCTCCTAACTTTTCTCTTTTTTTCCTGAAAGTTTCATAATTTTCTCTCCAGTGGTTTTCCAGAAAAAATTAAAATGTTCGATGTTACATTTTTACTTGATTTGGATTTTGCAAGGTGATATTCATTAATTTTCCATTCTGTTACTTTTCACTGGAGACTTCCGAAATTTTAGTATGATGAGCTTCTAACTTTCCTCTCTTTCGCCTAAAAGTTTCATAATTTTCCCTCCAGTGGTTTTCCAGAAAAAAATTAAAATGTACCGGGTGATTGTCTATATTTTGCACTCACACCTATCCCACCTGTTTGAAGAGATACCCAGAAATTTCAAATGTGAAAGTTGTAGGTAATATCAGAAAGTTTTCTATGATGTTAGTTACAAGTATACAAGGTGTGTCACAAAAGTATAGCGAAGCAAAGTTATACTTTTTTGAATGGAAAACCCCGTATTATTGTCCCATTGAATTAGCCTTTCAAACCTGATTCTATCAAATATACTAGGTTTTTTAGGTTTATTCCTTATAGTCCAGGAGAAAATAGGACAAAAAGGGGTGGAATAATCGCAATTTTTATTGAAAAAGGTGGAGTATAGAGACCACCAGCAAAATATAAAGGTAATCATTCATGTGAAAAATCCAAAGTTATTTCTTCAAGATGAGATTTTCAGAGGGTGGACTATGAGGAATAATCCTAAAAAACCTAGTATAAGGTACCTGTCCCAAATAAGGCCATGTTAAGAAGTTTTATTTTTTCTGAACACTATCCACCAAACCCAACAAGAATCACGAGCTTATATGTGAAGTGTTTCGCTTCTATTACTTGAATATTAACTCCAATTTATTTATTTTTACATATAAGTGGTGGTTTTTGCGTAAAACAAAGACCCTTACCATTGGTCTTATTCGACTCACTATGCTCCTAATAAGGCCAACAATAAAAAATGTTTAAAATAAATAGAATCATTCATAAAAATATTATTTTTCGACATAAAGTTCTCAAAATAGAACTTTAACGTTTGCTGCATTCTAAAAAAACAATAATTTTAAGTCCAGGGATGGTAATCCGAATAGGTCTACATACAACTAGGACAAATGAACCGCAGCTTTTCTTGCTTGGTTAGACTTCAGGCGCTCTAGAACACATCACTTAAGCAATAATATGACACATTCTTTTAAAAAAACACTGTGATGTGAGGCCAATTGAAAATTTTTCATGTGGCCTTATTAGGAACATGTTACATTGATAAAAAAATTCTGTAACTAGAAATCTAGCAAAGATATTATTCTGTACTTACTCTGTAGCTTTCTCAATACATAAATGTCCGTGTAAAAATTACATTCGCTCCATTCCCTTTATGAACATGTGTATAAACTAATGAAGTTCCAGCCTCAAAGTTATAACGTGACATATGAAATCTGTGGTTAGCCATTTTTCGACATATAACGAGTTGCTAGGAATCCTCGCAATAATTTTTGATTTGCATTATAGATATCTTTTTCAATAATATTTCAATTTTTGAATATGGGATTCAATATTAAGCAATAAGGGGCATTGGCCTTATTAGGTACATGGCCTTATTTGGGTCAGGTACCTTATTTGGAATCAGGTTTCTAAGGCTCATCTATTTAAAAGAGTATAACTTTGTTTCGCGAACTTTTGTGACACACCCTGTAGGTATACTTGTAACTAACATCATTGAAAACTTTCTGATATTACCTACAACTTTTACACTTGAAATTTCTGGGTATCTCTTCAAAGATGAGATAGGTGTGGGTGCACAATATAGACAATCACCCGGTACGAGGGTGCATTTTTGTTTAATTTGGATTCTGCAAAGTTAATATTCATTAATTTTTGGTCCTGAAGAAAATTCTAAGATAAATATCAAAATAAAAATTAAAGTTAGTGTATAATACAGCTATATCAGAGAGAAAATCAAAATATTCGTTGCTAATACGAACGATAATCTTTCAGAAAGATCGGCATTTTGAAAAATCAAATGGAAATATAATTAAGCATAAATATAAAATTATACTAAAACGTCAAATTGTCGAAGCAATGTCAAAAAAGAGCGAATTTCGCGCAAGCTTGATATCAAAATTGAAGAAACTTCTGAGTTATATAAGGTTGCAACGGATAATGGACAAATATATAATATAAGAAATAGAAGATACCTATTTAAATGTAGATAATTTACTAATAATTTTTTCACAAATACCATTTAGAATTGGTTTAGGTTAGTTTTGGTAATGGGTTTATTATTTCTCTAGGCCAGTAATCATCGAAGTACCTCACTTTGCCGCTCTACGAGGCAAAGAACGCGAAATCGTTATACTGCGGTCCGATAATGGAGAATCCTGGAAAGAACACACTGTGGACGCCACCGAAGAAATCCTAAACGAAGTTATGCATGAAAGTTTCGAAGCAGAAGGTATACCCACCTAATTTACATAACTAAACATATTATTAAATTAATTTTTTTTAGATTTATCTCAAATGGAAGACGTCTCATCCGGCCGAATAACTCGAATAGTAACGCAAGATTTCCCCCAGTACTTTGCTGTAGTATCGAGAATAAGGCAGGAAGTACACGCGATCGGACCGGAAGGCGGCATGGTGTCCAGCACGGTCGTACCTCAAGTCCAGGCCATCTTTCCCGAAGGGGCGCTCACCAAGAAAATCAAAGTCGGCCTGCAGGTAAATTTGTTCAAGCCTCGCAAGGGGGTGCCTTTCGAAAAGCTACGCAAAATCACTGTCAATCATATACCGAAAAAGAAACGGTGGTCGTTGATTTGGTAAGAATTTACCAATTGATTTGGCGATCATTTTGCCAACAAGTTTTTGCTCAATTGAGATTCAAATAGAAAATGTCTGAGTATTGACAAAATGGTCGCCCATATACTGGAATCTAAAATGTCACCACGTCTTCCAGTCATCGACCATCTTAATACAAAAAGCCCTTGCGAGTGATATTCTATTATATTTATTCATTTTATTTATACGTTTGTTAGGAGGGCAAAGCCCACATATTATAACATTATACCTTTATACAGTAGTTTGTTTTGAGTAAGACGTACCTACAAGGAAAATTATGTTTTTGGTAGCTATATTAATTCATAGGTACTAGAAAGACTATTTTCAAAGTGCGTTCCTATATTTTCTCATTCACCCAGTCATCATTTTTCATATCAGTGTTAATCAAATTGTAGAAAAATCTGTAAATGTGAGGATATTTTTGGTACCCATAGAAAATATTTTTCGACTTGGAGGATGTTGTGTTCAAAAATTGTTTGTTCGTGTTTAGGCACAAAAAAAAGGAGGACGCCGGCGCCGTGCCAAAATAATTTCACTTGTCCATTGTCCTCCTTTTTTACACATTTAAGTATCGTTGTTTCAACCACTGGTTTTCTTGCACTAACTTTAAAAGAAAATTGTATGAGTGCCCAATAAAACTTAATCATTACTAACACATAAACTAATGTTTTATTGATAAGCGCATAAACCAAAGCACGGTTCACCGATTTTATTGGGCTCTCATAGCTCAAACAATAAAGTTCATCCTCATTTTATATTTATTGGTTGCACTCTGCTGCTCTATTTCTGTTTATATTTTTTTGCTTTTTTGAACCTTGCTTTGTGTTATGTTTGCCTTTGTCCTTTCCCCAACTTTTTTTTACTTCCTGCAAACTCTGGTTTCTATCTATATAGGTAAGTGAGGCTTTATTTTTGTTACTTTGAGCAGAATTCTTCCAATCAATTTTATCACATATCGTATCTAAATAAGAATCACTTTGGTAATAATTCATAAAATTCCAGGCTCAACCGATTGATCCAGAATTGACGGCCAAACTGTTGGGTCATGGTGTGGCAGTTTCTCCCGTAGTCACTGTGGAGCCTCGTAGAAGAAAGTTCCACAAAGCTATAAGATTGAACATGCCCGCACCAACGGCACATTCTCAGGGCATGATAAACCAGTACAGCGGATCTGCGCCTACCCTAAGACTTTTGTGTTCGATAACAGGTAATCAAAGCTTTACTTAGGATTTAGGAATAAAGAATTTAGTTTTTAGGCTGCAATTTTATAAAAATTAATAATTATTCTTTCGATGTTGTATCGTGTTATTTATTTTTTGTATTTTGTTTGTTTTAGGGGTTGGCAAGCTTTTTAGATTTTTATTATTATTAGCTATAGTTTATTGAATAGATACATATAGTAGGTTAAAATAATTATTTGTTTAATTATTAGAATAGGAGCATGTAAATAAAATGCTAAATAATTAATATTAACAAATTACAATTAATTAGAAAGTTTGCCAGCCTCGTGCTTTTTTTAAAAAAAAAAAAAAAAACGACGTCATTGTGCTAAATAAAAGGATATTTTCTTAAAAATAAAAGGAAACATCTTTTTTTGAACTTGAATAGAAGACTAAAACTAATGCGCTATTATTTAACAATTTTTCACGCGGGGACCCATCGTATAGGGGTGTTTCGGAAAAGATCTCTCAAAGGTAACTAACTATACAATTTTCCTTTTTTTGGGCTGCCCCTTTATTTAGTATGTCATTTTTTCTTTTATTTGTTTTTCATCTTATTAGGAATGTGAGAGATACGCAATTGATTTAAACTTTTTTTTTAAGATAAACGGGTATGGCTTCAAAATTTTTATTTCAACCGAATAATGCATACGTTTTGTATATGATTCAATGTGGTTTTAGCCTTAGGTTTACGGAAAGTAACTGAATATTGAAATGATTAAATCTAAAATCAAGTTCGATGGTAATTTAAGCGTCCCAATATGTAATCTTATCTATCGAAAATGTATTTTCCTTTGTTGTTTATGGACCGATATACAAGTTGGTGCTTATTTACTTTGTTTAGATTTTCAGTTTTGAATTCTTTGTCAATATATTTGTCATGTAGTTACATTTAGACCAGGAGTTAGACGGAAATGAGTACCTATGTAAAATGTGAGGACCGGCAAAAATACTCAAAACCCTATTCCTGTGATCCTAAAGAATGGGAAAGTACATGTTGCCGGCAGCTGGAGTCGTCCCTAACTCTCCTGCCATTCCCCAATGCAAAGGTATATTGAAAATATCACAATTTCATGTCATTTCACAATAATTCCTATTGATCCCTACGACCTAAGGCTTTCTTCTCAAGCACTCAAAATAAATTACCTACCACTTGTTGGATATCTTTACAATTCTGCTCCAAAATATGCACAAGTAAAAGAAGACTTCGAGATGTACAGGGTCATCCAACGACCACTGAACATGGGCTTATTTTTGACCTTCCCCGTTCCTGTAGTTTTGAAAAAATTCAAAATAGCCATTTTTTTTTTCTGGAGAATACAAAAATGGTACAAAAAAATCACCATTTTTGAATTCTTCAGAAAAAAAATATGCCAATTGGCTATTCTGAATTTTTTCAAAACTACAGGAACAGGGAAGGTCAAAAATAAGCCCCTGTTCAGTCGTCGTTGGATGACCCTGTACATCTCGCAGTCTTCTTTTACTTGTGTATATTTTGGAGTAGAATTGCAAAAATATCCAACAAGTGGTAGGTAATTTATTTTGAGTCCTTGGAAAGAAAGCCTTTTATTATTGTGAAATGACTTGAAATTGTGATATTTTCCATATAACTTTGCATTGGGGGATGGCAGAAGAGTTAGGGACCACTCCAGCTGCCGGCAACATGTACTTTCCCATTCTTTAGGATCACAGGAATATGAATTTGAGCATTTTTGACGGTCCTCACATTTTGCATACTCAACTACTTGTAGCGCCTGCTCTAATTAATAAAATAGTATTCATATCCAAAAAATGTCATTGATATCAAAGCTCTTTCAAATACAATATTCTTTTTCTAAGGCCAGGTTTGTTCATCTTCAGCTAAACTTGCTAAAGTTTGAAAAACCATGATTCAAATTAAGAGAAAAATACGAAATATATTTGACGATTTGACACACTAATACAAAAGTTATTAATGGCAGCAAATATCCAGTTAAGTTCCTCAAAATTTTGTAGAGGGCGCGAGTGAACTTGGAGTGCTTCAAATTTTGGCGGTAAATGTCAATAGTTTCAAACCGCCTAAATTGAATAGAAGGAAAGATGACTACATATGAACAATGGACAATGAATAAGTTAAAATATCTTCCAAAGCGTTCAGTGGCCCTTAGAGAATATTTTTAAAAGTGTCAGCGTCAGCTTGTCTTAAAACCACACATCAAACTTAAGTTTTGAGGTTAAAATTACAATCGATTATCTACGCGCCAAAATTTGAATAGCTCCAAGTACAAAAGCGCCCTCTCAAACTCAACTGTCAATATTACATGCCATTAATTGAGACTCTGTCACACCTTTTTAAAAATATAAAAATAAATAACTACATAAAGATGTAGAATGTTCTTCAACACCTTTCCTCATCAGAAATCTTGGTTAGGCCCATATTGTCACATACAATCTCATGTCTTGGTTTTAACAAGGCTTTTGTCATTAAAGTTATCAGCAACTTGAGTTTCTGTAGACGTTTTGTGTATAGTCTGTCAATTTTAATCTAATACTCCAAGGAAATGTGAGCTGGTGTCTCCCTACATTAGAACGATTACCAATGATTACCTGACGTCACACCTGTTTTTGCCATATGAAACGGAAAGCGGAAAGTATCAGATTAAAAAGGAGAAACTTTAGACTCAAATTTTCTTCTAAAACAAGCTCTCTCACATAGAAATGTCGAATCTGAATGTGCTTGGTTCTTTTGTGGTTCTCAGGATTTTGTTCCAAATGAATAGTTGCTTCGTTGTCAACAGATAACTCTGGAATTTCTTCCAGTTTTATTGTTTCTTCATATAATCTTTTTAATCATACAAAGTTTTTGAAGCTTCGCTAGCTGCAACGATCTCTGTTTCGGTTGTAGAAAAGTCTCTGACTCATCCAGAATATAAGTACCTCCAGCAAACCCATACCACTCCTGTTGTGACGCGTCCTGCTTTTATATCCCCTCCATGATCAGCATCACTAAAACTTTGTAGGTATAACCTCTTCTGGTTCTTGGCCTGTAAATGATACCATAGTCGAGTGTTCCTTGAATGTAACGAAAAACTCTTTTTACTTAGACAAACTCTTTGTGAGTTGGATTTTCCAAACTTTTTGACGCCACACTGATTGCGTATGAAATGTCTGATCTTGATCCTGATATCAGGTAAAGTAATGCTCCAACAGCCTCTATATGGAAAATTTGATATTTCGGCTTTTTCTGAAGGAGAATCATTCTTAACAATTGGAGTTTTGACGGGTCTGCAATTGTTCATACCAAGGGACCCCGCAATATTTAAATGGAAATTGGTTACCCGTGATATTTGGATGAAATTTAAATATGTTATTGGGGATGCCATAAGCAACATTTTTTACCATGGGCACAACCCTGTATATATGACAGGTGAGGCGTGGTTAACTGTCAAAAATTGGAATCTTATATCCAAAAGCAGAGTAACTATGACAAATTATGATGAACAAAAAATCTATTTCTACTAAGTCGACCAAGTTAAGTCGAAAAATGTCAACCATTTTGACACGTGTCAAAACCCTGCCAAACGGCAGCTCTCCATCTTTTCCAGTTTTCAATATTTCATGATGTCATTTGACATTTTTAACTTGTATGTAAATTCTGAATTCAAAATTTGAAAAAAAAAAAATGACAGAACTGTTAAAACCTATCATTTGTTTTAGTAGAAAAAAATACTCTAATCTGGTTCTTTTCTGTTTCAAGGTAGTTTATTGGTGATAAAACATTGAACAAAGTTCATGCATGTCACATTTTGACAATTGTCAGAATCTGTTAATAGTTTTTTGGTTCATATTGAGTTTGTTTGCTTAATGAAGTTCTACAACTAGAATGACAGAATAATACAATAATACAATAGAACTAAACCAATTTTATGCTCGGTGTTGAACTTCACTAAAACAAAAAAGAACCAGATTAGAGTATTTTTTTCTACAAAAACAAATGACAGGTTTTGACAGTTCTGTCATTTCTTTATTTCAATTTTTGAATTCACAACTTACATACAAGTTAAAAATGTCAAATGATATCATAAAATATTGAAAACGGGAAAAGTTGAGTGCTGCCGTTTGGTAGGGTTTTGACAGGTGTCAGAATGGTTGACATTTTTCGACTTAACTTGGTCAACTTAGTAGACATCGATACTTCGTTCATCAACATCTGCCATAGTCACTCTGCTTTTGGATATAAGATTCCAATATTTGACAGCTAACCACGCCTCAACTGTCATATATACAGAGTTGTGCCCATGGTAAAAAATGTTGCTTACGGTATCCCCAATAACATATTTAAATTTCATCCAAATATCACGGGTAACCAATTTCCATTTAAATATTGCGGGATCCTTTTTTCAACAATTTCTTGGCATATGCATTTTTATTTATGATAACTGATCCATTCTTTGACTTCATGATTTCCCTACCCAAAAAAATATCATGAAGGCTTTATCATGACTTTAAATGCTATCTGTAGTTGTCGTAGAAAATATGTTTTCATTTCCTCATTGCTTGAGGCTAGTAGACCATCGTCCACATATAAAACTAAAATAAGAATTTCTGCTCTTTTCCTCATGATAAAGAAACATGGATCGGCATCGCTCTGTTTGAAACCAAAGGATAGAATTATTATAGGCTCTTCTTCAGATGCCAAACCCTAGTAGAGTATAGATTGTGGGGGAGTCGTTTCGGCTTTTCTGCCGCTCAACACTGCTACCTTTGCAGATATTTTGTACATGACTCTACATCTTAAGTTGTCTCAAGCGTAGACTTCTGTCGAAAGAAGCTATTTTCCTGGGTGTCAGTTGTCCCACTTCTTCTGATGACAGTATTGCCCCCTCGAGGAATTTGAGCCTCTTGCAAAATTGGGCTGGACATTCGCAGAGCAAGTGCTCTGCGGTCTCTATTGCGTCTAAGCAGAATCTGCAGAGTTCGTCTTCTGCTTTGCCCATTAACCTTAAAT